TATTTCAAATGAAAGCACTGAATTTACATCTCATTTGCTACTAGATTCCTGATCTGATCATCACAGCTTTGTGTAAATGTTTTCTAATTGACCAAGCAGGAGCCATATTTCCATTTTTGAGAGACAGTACTACCCAAACCTCATATACTGAATTTGGGCAAGTTGTGGTTTTTCAGAGGAAAATCAGGGTTCTGTTATCCAAGCAGGAAAAAGGGCTCTTGTCAGGCATGAAAAATCAGGGCTCACTGAGGCAGTTTTTACAACTCCTCTTTAGCCATCATTATGAAGTAGGTTGGATGTACCTAAAAAAGGTATTTAGATGCTGTGCAGCACAACAACAAATGTCCTGCAAAGGTTGAATGCATCCTCCTTATTGATACTACATTCACACATCATGGAAACTATATTCTATCATGAAGACAACCTAACATTTTCAATGTCCCATAATGGGCTTGATGTCTCACAGTGCTATTGATTGTGTCGACAAATCACTTCTATGAAAGGGATTCCTGAAGAAGTATTTGTTGTGTTGGAGGATCAGACCCATCTTCTATCTGTTCCCTCCTAAATTAGTGGTCTTAGTGCAGTTCAGGAAGAATTAGAAAAGATTCTTATTTCATTTACCATAACAGGGGTAGTTTTACAGAAAATATAATTATATATTGTCATCAATTTTTTTTCAGTTTAGTTTTGTTTTATTCATTCATTTACTATTGATTTTTTATTTCTATTCTCATTTTTATTATATTTCATTTATTTGTTTATTTATTTCATATTTTCCCTTAAGTTATTGGGGTACAGGTAGTATTTGGTTACATGAGTAAGTTCTTTAGTGGCGATTTGTTAATCCATTATAGTATTTCACAAATCACTACTATTGATTATTAATTACATACTGCAAATTATGGTTTATAAGTGCTTATTAGGGTAGATATGATGGAGAACAACATAGACGGGATTCCTACCCTCAATAAACGCTTACAATTTACAGTACTGGCTAAGAGTTTGAGGATGAAATAAGAATTCTTTCCTGGGTTCTCGCCAGATATAAAATTTTCCTATTTTACATCTCTCCAGTGATTGATCACCTCAGTCAGGATTTGTATGTGTGTGAATTTCAGCCTGTAGTGCTTATGTGGTCTTATGCATAAAACTCACATGCTGCTTGCTGAAAGTCTTTTCATTTGGTTTTATATTTTCATGATTTTATTATGAGCCTTTGACCATGTATCTTGAGATCCTTTGGGGGTTCTTTTAAATGTTGTTGCAACGAAATATTTTGGTTTTGGCTTAATTCTTCAATATCTGTTGGTTTTTTTTTTTTTTTTTTTTTTTTTTGGATGACCTCACACAACCTCATTATTTAAACTGCCATTCACAAATAATGATTTCCAAATCAAATTCAGCAGTACTGACTTGAAATTTGTTTTATTTTATTATTATTATTATACTCTAAGTTCTGGGGTACAAGTCCAGAATGTGCATGTTTGCTACATAGATATATATGTGCCATGGTGGTTTGCTGCATCCATCACCCTGTCATCTACATTAGGTATTTCTCCTAATCCTATCCCTCCCCTATCCCCTTACCCCCTGCTGTCCCTCCCCTAGCTCCCCACTCATGACAGGCTCTGGTGTGTGATGTTCCCCTCCGTGTATCCATGTGTTCTCATTGTTCAACACCCACTTATGAGCAAGAACATGCCACCCCATGGTTTTCTGTTCTTGTAACTGACTTGAAATGTATACTTTAAAACTTTCAACTATCTACTGAATAGTCTTGCTAATATATGCCGTGGTTACCTGAATTTCAACCTGTCCTCATTGCCTTACTTTAATTCTAAGATCCTTAACCTGACATACCACTACTCAGGCATTTTAAATATTTTTCATCATCATCACTTTCTAGTAGTCTCTGGTCTTAGGCTAGTGTAGAAAAATATGTAGAAAGAGGAAAAAAACACAGAATAAAACAGTCATTAGTACAGCTCTTAATACAGAACTTACTAAATATATAACTTGGGCAAGCTTCTGTGAGTTTCAGTTTTCTCTCATGTGAAATGTTATTACTGAACACTAAGCTCTGATTTTGACCTCATCCTTGTACCTACCTGGTTACTGGATATAAGAAGGGTTAACTTGTATTAACTTAATTTTTGCTTTGACTAAATACACAAAGCAAAAGCTAAATTCATCACGACATCTGAGAAGTTTCTGATTAGCAACATGAAGGAAAACTTTAGGGAATAATTCTCTCTAGGATGCTCGTCTCTTACGTCATTATGTGTTTCACTATTCGCTCAAGATGTAGAAAGAAACATTTTTAAAACTCTTCTATGGGAAGGCTGCTTTCAAAAAGGGATGTACGATGTACAGGCAACACTAATTTGGAGACTCTTCTGACATGTAAGTGACAGATTATTTCCAGCTTTGTGAACTCAGAGAGTTATCATCACATTTTAATTCAAAATAATTTTACAATATATTTCCATATGTCTTGTGACTGTACAGTTCTTACATTCTCTGAGAAAAAAATGACAGGAAAAAAATAACCCAAAGTTTAAAAGTGTACTGTTAATGTGGAATGAAACATCATCTTTGGAATAAAATGCTCTTTAGAACTCAAAAAGCATTTTACGAGCACCAGCCATATGAAAAGTCACCTTTTTTGTGGTGGGAGAAAAGGATGCTTTCCATGTCTTAAGGTTTAGTACAGTTTCTTGAGATGGCAGAGTGAATAAAATTTCACTATTAAAAAAAGTGTAAGCTACTTGGGGAAGATAACTACTCACTAAAAGCTGATGAGTACTAGACTTAGAAAATATTATGGATGTTCAACAATTAGAGAAAAGGCTATTAGGGAATAGTGACCTTAACAAAGCTTCTGGAGAATGCCAGATTTTCATCACAGTGAAAATTTTGAAAAGCGTATTGTATATCACAGCATAGAATTATTGCTCCTTCCTCATTTCTTAGAAGGTATCATAAAATATAATTGATAATTAATACACATTTGAGACTTCATATGAAAAGTTAAATAACTAATTCTCAGAAAATGTTTAGAGCAAACCTGATAATGTGGAGGCTAATGTAAAATATTGAAGATGAAATATAATATGCTATATATGTGGTAGGAATGATATATATATCATTTTAATTTACCTACAAAAACTATGTCTAAATATGTCATGTAAATAAGCTTGTTCTGGAAATAGCCTGATGGGATTGCCAATATGCAGACCAACAGCTGTACACTCAAAGGAATGCTCAAATCATGGAAAATTAGAGGCGAAAGTGACCATTGCCTCCAAAGTCTACCACATTTTCTCAAGTACAAACACTTTATGATGGATCACTATTTTAAACGAATAAGGGAAAAAATAGCCTATTGTAATGATTAACATACCAACTCACTTCCCATATAGTTTGGACACTTTTCAGATATTATAGAAACCAAAGATGCATATACATTTTTATTTTGAGCACTCCAAAGTGAATAACTTCATCATTTTCTCAAGAGGCTTTTGTTTTGTTTTGTTTTGGAGGAAAATAAGGTATATTTGAAATCTGTTGAGGAGAAGAAAATTTATCCAGGGAGAGGAAGAAATACATATTAGGAGAATTCTGTGTCTGTTTTATCATATTGTTTGCTTTGGCCAACTCACAACTTTCAACACAAAGTTTTGAAGGTAAGGATGGGATTGGAGTGAAATACAATAGGCTAAGCACATCTTCTAGATTATATTAAAATAAATTACACTTCCAGTTGTATTTTGATGTTTATATATGTACCTTCCAATATCATCTTAACAAGAAAGATCTAGAGTAAAGATTTGGTTCTTGAAAGTGAAGACTTGTGATAATATTGTAGTAACATTAAAATAAACAAATCTTCATTGAAAGAAATAACATTTCAAAGTTGAATAATCATTGACTTTTCTGTAAAAGAAAAAAATTGAAGAAGTCAACTACTAATTATAATCTCTTTTTTCGCCATTTTCCTCCCTCTTCTGAATCTCTGCTCTGCTCCAGGAACATGGGGCTTTCAGATATGTGGATAAGACTTCTTCTGGGGATTACAACTATGATCTGGGCCTACATCAACTTTCTGTTGACATTCCTCCAAACCACCCCAGTTACAAAATGCTCAAGCTGAAAACTTAAATTGTGAAATCATAAACTGGTGAGTAATAACATCCCATCCTCATTTCTTTTCATATAAATATAAACTCAGGACTTCTGAGAGTTCCAAGAGGTGCTTTAATGAATTAGAAAGAGAAAATTAGAAATGGAGAATTAAGGATATTACCAACTATCAAAGAATATTTATTTGTATTTACGGGTTCAAGTCAGTACAATCATAATGACACTTCAAGGTAGGAGCATATTAATTAGAGGCTGTAGGTGTTTACTTTGCCACTTTTAAACCTGGAATATCTGGGGAAATTTTTGCATAGAAGTTGAGATTGTTATGTATTTATGAATAATATATATCTCTATGAATCTGTAATTATAAACTATGTATAAATAAGACGTTCTGTATGGGGTGGTGGTGGTGTGGGACTTTATATCATGGATCTCCAAGGGCAGTTTAGTATATCCTAAATGCTGAGTGATAAACCATGCAAAATATAGACACTAATATTTACTGAAAATGAAAAAATGAAGTTAATTTACAATAGATTCATAGCGTTTTACATTCACTGAATTGGCAAAATTAATCAGAATGATGCCAAAGCTAACAAGGCTTTGCATGTGAAGAATGCTACAGCAAAGTAGCATATTTGAGACTCTTAAAAACCCTAAGAAATGATCGTCAAAATTGAGAAACAAAGTATTGAAGTGACTTATTAAGAAACCACTAACAGAATGTCTCTGATGAGAAATGCTTAATTTTGCATAAAATACTTAATAACATTACGTAGCATACCATAAGCTAATTCCTTTTTTTTTTTCAGATAAACAATTTCATATGCCTCTTCCCCTCATTCATAAAAGCCATGCAACTGAATAGCAATGTGACTGAGTTCGTTCTGCTTGGATTGACACAAGATGCTTTTTGGAAGAACATAGTGTTTGTTATTATATTTTTCTTCTACTTGGGGACATTGTTGGGTAACTTGTTGATTATTACTACCATCAGGACCAGCCGGGCACTTCAGAGCCCAATGTACTTCTTTCTTTTCTACTTATCCTTATCTGATACCTGCTTCTCTACTTCCATAGCCCCTAGAATGATTGTGGATGCCCTTTCAAAGAAGAGCACTATCTCTTTCAGCGAGTGCATAATTCAAGTCTTTACATTCCATTTCTTTGGCTGCCTGGAGATCTTCATCCTTATCCTCATGGCTGTTGACCGCCATGTGGCCATCTGTAAGCCCCTGCACTACATGACCATCATGAATCACCGGGTCTGTGGTGTGTTGGTGGCTGCAGCCTGGGTGGGATCCTGCGTGCATTCCTTAGCTCAGATTTTTCTTGCCCTGAGTTTGCCGTTCTGTGGCCCCAATGTGATCGATCACTATTTCTGTGACTTGCAGCCCTTGTTGAAACTTGCCTGTTCAGACACCTATGTGGTCAACCTACTCCTGGTTACCAACAGTGGGGCCATTTGTACAGTGAGTTTTGTCATGCTGATGTTCTCCTATGGCGTCATCTTGCATTCTCTGAGAAACCACAGTGCTGAAGGGAGAAAGAAAGCCCTTTCCACCTGTGTTTCCCACATCATTGTGGTCATCTTGTTCTTTGGACCTTGCATATTTATATACACACGGCCTGCCACCACCTTCCCCATGGATAAGATGATAGCTGTGTTTTATACACTTGGAACACCTTTGCTCAACCCTCTGATTTATACTCTGAGGAACACAGAAGTGAAAAGTGCCATGAGGAAGCTGTGGAGCAAGAAACTGATCTCAGATATAAAACCATGAATGAAGATCTCAAATCCTTCATGATAGTTTGGAGTGGCCTGGAAGAAGCCAATAAAGAATACTGTCTCTTTATTGTTGATTTAATGTAACTCTGTCTTGGAGCATGAATGTTAGTTCCTTCAGGAAAAAAGACAATATGGATAAATATCATTGATGAATGTTGAGTCAGTTTTATGCAGAGGAAGAGACTGCATGAGGTACAAAGAGATAACATGACGTTCATTGCCTTCACTGCTGTGTTTCTGGCTCTTGACGGCTGAGTGTCATTTATGGCTTTGGTCTGACGTTTGTCTGTTCTTCTCCATGTTGACTTCTTCTGGAGTTCCCTGCTAATAGTTACCCATCAATATACTCACAGTCCAACAGGTTTTCCCTCTTCTGAATGGTTTTCTTTATTAGATACTTTGGTTTTGTCATGTCTGATGATCAACTTAGTTGTTCTACCTGACTCAGCAGAAAGTGTTAGATTTAAATAAGTGTAGAAGTTTCATGTTGTAAGGGACAGTATATATAACTTAAGCAAACTCCCTTTCAATTCCTTGAGTGATATGCTGAAATCTTAGCATAAGTTTTCATAAGTGCACCTAATTTTTCTACAACAGCAATGGAACCGAGAGAGAAAATTCACCTGTCTGAAAGAGTTCTTGATATTAGGACGGTTCTCACTCCTGGAGTTGTAGTCATATAATTGTTCCTTTTATAAAATCTACTTTTTACTTTTAATGGGATCTCTTCTAATTTGGGGAAACATCAATGTTTCTCTTGAATCATAACAATGATAGTAATTTGTTTATAGGAGAGGGCCATTATGACTACAACATAGACAGCTCAAATTAAGGTAGAGATATTTATGCAGGCTAGAAATAAAGCGTGCAACAAGTTAATGGTAGAAACTTGGAAAATATTACCAGATTAAATAAGGAATGTGATAACTCAGAGAAATAGTTTTAGGATTTGAAACAGAAATAATTACATAACAGATGTGAATTATTTCAGTGACATTTCTAAATAATGCAAAAGAAAAGAACTTGGATAGAGCAATGGAGATGTTTAGATGAAAACTATATTTCTGCAATGGAGATGGCTATCACCTTCTGTCTCTTTTATTAACGTGTCTGGTCTGTGCTAAAACTAAATGGATTATAGTGGATAATGATAATTTCTCAATAACATCTCCTTTTCCTGAGTACTTTGCTTTTAGATTGATCACACAAATTTTGGCAGCAGGTGAATGCATGCTTCTGTATTCTTGTAAATACAGAAGACAAAATCAGCTCATTTTTAAATAGCACATACAAAAGATACTAAGTGACTGACCAGGAATACCAAAAAACTTTGCAACCTCAACTATACATTATGTACTGGATATTATAGGATTCAACACATCTTAAGTTCTGACGGATATGCAGCCTAAACTGGTAAGAGGTTGACCTGAGCAGGTTAGAAGGCAACAGTAATTTATGAACAAATGAATGATTCTAATTCTCATATCACTCACTTCTGTTAAATCAGTGTCTCTTTCCAAGCTCATGTATATGGCCTCATTGGGAGTACTCCGTGATGAACAGACAGAGGAGGAAAGGATTTTGGTTGCATTTTCAGACAAGTCATCTCCACACATGTGCGTTAATCTGTAAAGAACAGCTGCCCAACACAGCATAATTCAAAGGTGGTCTCAAAGGTAAATGGCATAGGGAAATTATGCTAGTGAACAAAGTCCTTAATTACAAACTTGTTTATTACAATATTGTTGTAATTGTTTTCAATTCACAAAATAAGGGGATCTTTAGGGAATAATATTATCTAGGATGCTAATATCTTTTATCACACCTAAAAATATTCCCTCTGAAACGCAGAATTTTTTACAATATTATATGGGAAGGCTGCTTTCAAAAAGAGATAGACTTGATACTAATTTAGAGTCTTCTAATAGACAAGTGACATATTATCATCATCTTTGCAAACTTAGAGAGGCATCATTACAGTTTAACGTAACATTGTTTTTATAATAATATCTCGCCATATGACTAGTGTCTATACTGCTTTCACATACTCCAAGTAAGGAACAGGAAAAAATAAATCATCAAATATTTTCAAGGTTTACGATTAATATATGAAATAAATACAATAAAATATAATATTTGGAGTAAAACAACCTTTTGAACTCAACAAATACCTTATGAGTTTCAGGTATGTGAAATCACCATTGTGTGAGAAAAAGAGGATGCCTCCCATGTCCCAAGGCTAGTCACAATTTCTTGACATGGCAAAGTGAATAAAAGTTCACAAATGCTTTTCTCTTTTCTTTTCTTTTTTTTTTTTTTTTTTTTTTTTTTGAGATGGGGTCTCGCTTCATCGCCTAGACTGGGGTGTAGCGGTGCAATCTTGGCTCACTGCAGCCTCTGCCTGCCAAGTTTGAATGATTCTCCTGCCTCAGCCTCTGGAGTAGCTGGGACTACAGGGATGTGCCACCATGCCCAGATAACTTTTGTATTTTTAGCAGAGATAGTTCGCCATATTGGTCAGGCTGGTCTCCATCTCCTGACCTCAAGTGATCTGCCCACCTTGACCTCCCAAAGTGCTTGGATTACAGGTATGAGACACTGCTGCTGGGCCACAGATGCTTTTCTTAAGGTAACTGGGCAAGCTCAGCCCTCACTGAGAGCTATAGGTGCTAGAAATTTTGAAAATATTACGTCACAAAAAAATTACAGAAAAGCTTAATTTAGACTAGTGACCCTCACAAAGCTTCTGGAGAAGGCCAGGTTTCCATCTATAAGTGATAAAATTGAATAGAATAATGCATACCACAGTAATGACAGAGTCTCAATCATAGCTTCTTAATCCGAAAGCTTTACATTTAGTATGGTCACAGAAATTTTAGCACTAGATGAATGAATACGTCTTGATCCTCACAAATAGGAAGGGTAACATCATTTCACTTTTACATAACAAGTGCAAAAGATAGTGAGTGACTGACCAGGGATGCCAGGAGACTTTGCAACCTGAGCTACCCACTATGAACTAGATATCAGATGGCTCAACGTCTTAATTTCTGAAGGGCACACAAGCCTGAAATGGTAAAAGCTAGGCCTGAGCGATCAGAAGACAAGAGTGGTTCAGGAACAAGTGGATGGTTCTGACTCTCATATTATGTTAAATCAATGCCTCTTCCTCAAGGCATACATATGGCCTCACAGGAAGTGCTCTGTGATCATCTGACAGAGGAGGAAAGGTCAGGTTCACATACAAGTCACCACAGTATGTTGGCATTAACCCAAAATGACATCACGGCCCTAAATGGTGGCCTTAAAGGTATGTAGCATAGAGAATTTCTGCCAGTGGACAAAACCCTGAATAATATTCTTGTTTTCAACTTTGTATAGAAGGGGAAGAGTCCCAAATAATAAATATACATTGAATTGAGACAGAACTAAAGGACTGGTTTGTTGATCAAGTGTCTGGAAGATCAGAAGACTGGACCAAGTGATCTGGAAAAGTTACGTGGATAGACATATTGAAGTTGGAACTAACTAGAAAGCATGTACAAGACAGCAGGCTTTCACTATCCAGACGATGAGGATGGGCTGTGCTCTGACGTGATCTGGCCTAAAGCTATTTCAGTGATAGCACATTAAGCACATGAACAGAGTGTCTATACTGGCAAGGATGTGAGTTATGCCTGGGTTCAGTGACACAAGCTCCCTGCCATAAATGCTGTTTTGCATTCTCCCACCTCTGAGTGCCCAACATGCCAGTAGCAGATTCCATGCCTGAGCACTCAATGTGATGCCAGTTCCTGGGAAGATATTCATGTGTCTCATAGCGAGATGATTATATAAGACCTCTTCCACCCTTAAAGTGAAAGCAATTGGTCCTAATCAGAAATAATAGACACTGTAGATGTAGATTTGTCTTCCATAACCACAGTGCCTTCATCTACAACAACATTTGACAGCTTGCAGATAAATCGATACATGGACATAATATCCCTTAAATATTACCTAGGACCTGGTACCTATTTTGGGGTAAAGGAGATATAAAATGTTCTCATGATCTCAGAATTCACTGATCTTCCCATATCGCCCATCACCTGTAAGCATCCAGCTTTACGGAAGAGGGGAAAGGCCTGTTAAGAGCTCAGTCAAGGGACTAGCTAGAAGTCAGCTCTGGAGGAGAAGAGATGCTGTTTTCCAGATTCAGTGTATGAATTGAATGCTGAACGGATGGTCTCTATGTGGTGTGGAGTCACCATTTGCCTGCATTATACTATTCTGAGATCCAAGGGGTGAAAGTAGGTGTTTTCTGTTTTTTATACTCCCAAGAACTACTTTCTTAGTCTTCATTTTCATGAGGATAGAAGTCATGGTTTCTAGAGAGAAAAACATATTTTCCAGTAACATAGCAGGAACCACTCTTTTGTGTTCTTTATACAAATAGACCAGCAGGCAAAAATAAAAAAATAGTCACTATTTTGGATGGGGTACTTGATTCTGGTTACGATGAGTAGCTAGTGTTGTTTTTATGGTTTAGGACACAGAGATAATTATATTCAGAACACAGAGAATGTAGTGGAACCTCTCTTAGAACTTGCACACCCAGGGATAGCTATAACTGCACAATTGCAGCAATTACAGTAAATAAGAACAGGGCAACCAGGGATCAAACTCTTATGGATAATGTTTTCAATCACCACAAGGCAGACAACCCAAACCAACCAAGTACTGGCCAAGGGTGAAAGAAATCAGGGGTGAGAAAATGGGTGGTGGAAGAGGAAGATGTTCTCTATCAGCTATGGTTCTGGGAATTGCTGCAACATTAAGGAAGCTATCTCAGTTGTGTTTTTCTTTAGGTCTAGTTTGGAAAACAAGACTGATCACAATCCTAAGGACATTCTCACACTACCTCCCAGACTCTGGAATTGCAAACACTGTTCCTTCGTTCACCTCACCCTCCCACACTGCCGGCTACTTTGACCTTCCCCTGGGAGAGGACTGTTT